CGGAGGCCACGATTTTTAACAATTTGGTCAATTAAAAGAGGATAAGAACGCAAAGTAAAGGGGGAGGGGAAGTTACTTACTGGTGGCGAAGTCGACAAATCGCCTTGGACTGACAGTGCTGGGGTTCAATTTTATTAACGGATACCCATCTGATCTCAGTTCTGTGGGTCCCTCCTTGTCTTCCCCGACGTCGGTACCAGGTAACTGGAAGCTGCCGGTGGCAACAGGGGTGCAGCAGTTCCTTGAAAACGCTGGATTAACGGTTGACATCACTCCATGATAGTTTGCAGCGTTTTTCACCATGTTGAGGTAAAATTTGTAAGGTATAACGCCACCTATGAAGAAACGGGGTGGAAAATCAAATAAATAAATAAATAAAGATACACCTGACTAGTGATTAGGTCTGCTGAGTCACGAAAAGCTTTCCTCTCTTTTCGATAAGTACTTTAAAATAGACGCACAAACTGTAGGTTAGAATGTTTTACTTCTCGAACAAAAAGAGACTTTTTAGTGAACAAGACTGCTGAGTCATGGAAAGCTTTCTTTTCTTTTTGCTAAATACTTCGCAATAGGAACATAAACGGTGGGATAGGAAGTTATACTTCTCACCACTCGGCAAACAAAAGTGTAACATCAATAAGCACAGACACCGAAATACAGCCGGGTTTCTCCAACTGGTGTCACATCTGTCAATGTTATATGTAAGGAGCAAATAGTATTGCCGGCAACGGTGGCCAGTTCTGACTTATTAGTCTTCGTCAGCCAGTCATACCAAGACCTAAGTTGTGTCCCACCTGAACCTCAAAAATGCGACCCCTTTGATCAGGATCAAACGTCCTAAGCATTGAGCCACGCGTTCCTTGTCTTGCCCGTTTATATCGGGGAATATTGACACTCACTACAGTACACTAAAGGGGGGGGAGGGGAGGGTAAAACGCCAAGTACGGCAACAAATGTTTGGTCGCGTACAGTAGAACGGCCGTACCTGGTAACCAACTGTTCAAATTAGACACAGGTGCGTAGACATGGCGGGATAGGACTCGGTTCGCCATTGGTCCCTGAACGTAGCCTTCGGGATTTTGGCTGATGCCCGCCAATAGTTCGTTGCTTTGGGTTTCTTGGCTCATCATGCAGGCCTGTTTACAAGGAAACAATAGAAACCGAACTTATAATGGAAGTAATTGTTAAGGACAGTGGTTACTGGAATAAAAAGCATACTAAAACGGGTTTCTGTGTCTACGTGTATATCCAAGGGAACTGCAATTTATCGCGTCAATAATCGCCCCCCCCACCGAACCTTGGGGCACTAGGCCGTTCTAGAACCGCCTCGCCTGGAGTCCCCGAAATCGGTGAACCCATTGGTGTCCCCTTCACCTGCTCGTAGATTGTTCCCTCAAACGTAAAGTACGTCCTGAGACAGAACGTCAGGAGCTGTTGGATTTGGGCATGTCCAAGGCGATTCTCCATCTCGTATTTGCTTCGTAGGAGTAGGTCGACAGTCTCGACCGCCAGATCCTGGGGAAAAGAAGTAAAAAGGGACGTGACATCGAAGAAGACCATGATACCACTTGGCAGGAGACTTACTACATTAAGTTTCGCCAAGAATTGTGATTATGAGGGGATCATGGTCTCCGAATCAGCAGTCAGGAATTTGAGACGCCG